GGGCAGACGGCAGAGTCCAATGATGGGAGAGAAACAAACAAACAAACATGCTCGGGAGCATTATTTCCACGACGGGCCAACTCTCAGTAGCCAAGGCTGACGGCATCGGGTCGCTAAATTTGCGTTACACCGCCTGGTGCGAAAGGCGACAGCCAGCCCGAACCTGGTGCGAAAGGCGACAGCCAGCCCGAATTTTCCCAAACCCATTCGACAAAATTGTTTTGGGCTCTTTCAAAAAGTATCGTATCAACCCAGCGGGAGCCAGCCCCGCGTTTTTTGGTGCACCCCTTGATTTCGTTCGTTTTTGTTTTTTTTTGCGTCAAGAGTAGACCACGTCCACGGAGGCGCGGTGTCTACCGCGCTAGACGACGTCCTTGGCACCATGGCGTGGCGAGACGTGGGCTTCCCGAGATGGGGGCTCCCAACGATGCGGCTCACGGTCCGGTTTCTGGCGGGCGCTCCCATGGAGCGCCAGCTGCGCTTCGACACCCGTGTCGTCAGGCGGGATGGCCGTAAGGTACATGTCGCCATCGAACAATCTTCCTCCTTCATCTTTGCGACCCATTCGACTTTTCGGTGGCGTGAAGCACCATGTGGCCTGGTGTTCGCGCACAAAGAAGGTTGTCTCAGGAGATCGTTCGGACGTAGGCGGTGTTAGGGTTAGGTTAGGGGTTGAACGATGTGTGCTTTGAAACGTTTGCGAGGATGTCGACGGGGACTTGCGCCGAGCAAGCGAGGGCGGGAGGGAGGGGGGGCGACCAGCGGTTTCTTGGCAATGACCGCAAGCGAAGAGATGGAGCCCTCACACATGAGTTTTGTGTCTTGTCTTATCATGCTGCATACATTCGTTCGTCGTTTTAAACCCCTTCCCCCATGCTCCGCCCTCTGGAAGACGCGTGGTCAATGGTCTAGTGACTACGGCATGCGAATCATGAGTACGCGCCAAACAACGCGGCCGCAGCCACCACCGGACGTCCGCACGACGACGGGATCGGCGGCAGGAGGAGCAGCAGCGTCGGACGCCGGTGCCAAGCCCTCTCACGGGCGACTTGAGCCGTCATCGGCGGAACGTGGAGCAGAGAGATCGCAACTGCCACTGCCGCCGCCGCCGCCGACACCATCGCCGACTGTGAGCGCAAACGAAGTCTCGGCCTCGACCAGCCGTTCGCCGCCGCCGCCGCCGCCGCAGCAGCAGCAGCAGCAGCAGTCATCATCATCGTCGATAACGACAACACCGACGGAGCTGCTGACGTACGACGAAGCCGTTCGGCAGTTCGGTACCGGTAACCCGAACGCCGTCGCGAACCTCGTCGCGTTCTACGGGGGGGCGGGGGGCGGCGATCCCACCGCCACCGCCACCGCTAACGCGCTTCGGCAGAGGCAACGACGATCAAGACTTTGACTTTGTCTTTTGTCAGGACGAATGATGATGCACGATGGATTCCACCACAATCTCGCTTCTGTTTTCCGCAAAGGAGTCATTTCGTAGCGAGATCACGAGGTGTTGCGAGCCCCACCAAGGGCTCTCGCTCAACTATCCCTCTTCTACAGAGATTCGTCAACGTTGCCAGGGAAGCGCCAAGGATGGAGGGGGTGCTCTCGGTGCCACGTGG